ACTCAGGAGGACTTGCTCCGAGCATGACTCTGAGTCTGCTTTCAGTTTAATAGGCCCAGAAACTCACATTTATCAGATCTGGAGAATTAAACCAAACTCATCCTATTCAAAACATACTAGTCACTAGGGACACAAATGCTAACCTGCTAACTGGAAGAGGTGAACAATGCTGAGGTTCTGAGACACATGTCCATGGGCCCACATAGCATTTTTCCAAGAGGAGAATTCTACTTGGGTGCAAACTTATGATTAGAAGTTTATTTAGAGCTCATGAAATAAATCGCGACATGATTAAATAATTGAATCAAATGATGTTCTCATGGAATCACGTCAGTCACCGTGTGTCAAACTTGATGTTCACAAAAACACTGCCAGGAGAAAAGAAAACGTTCTAAAACCACTGAGTATACTGTATTGCTGTTTCTTTGAGAGCTAGAGGCATCTTATTCCTGTTCTACAAATCAGAATGCAAATATAATGAGATTCAAAATAGGAGGCATAAATGACTATTAAAGGCTGTTTGGGGTGTTTGGAATTGAAGGGCTCAAAGTCATGATGACTGACTGTCCCATGGACCATTCTTGTTGCCCTGTGGCAGGGCCAAGTCGGGGCTCATTAGCTATGAGTCTGGCCCCAGGAATGGAGCTCATATTTTAATGTAAAGTTGCACAATTCTGTAAAAATGTGTTTTTGAAATACTGATGCTGCTTTTAACATTTTGAATACGCTGATGTTGAGAAGGCATCCGTGGAGTAGCAGGTACATTTATCAAATCCTAAAGCAAAGTTCTATGTGGATCCCACAGCATAGGCACAGCAGCTTCCTTTTGAATAGTAGCAAGCACACACTTTTTAAAAAATCTTCTTATAATCCAAGTCAGTAATTGTTAATGTAGGGCTACCACCAGACTCGCCAATGGCTTTTTCTCTACACGTATACCTGGTCCTCATCTGTGCTTCCCAGATCCTAGGGGTGAAGTTTAAAACGTCTACTTTAAAAGTATCCCTACACTGACTCAGATGCTGAGATTTGAGGATAAATGTGAGTAAAAAACTGCTATCGATGGTACATCAGGGGACCGGTCAGAATCCAGAGCCTCAGAAGACAGGAAGTTTGGGTCTAATGGTTGCAGATGCACTCAGATGTGGCCTCCATCTGCTTGGATAGCTGTGACACTGTCATTTCCTCTGACCAAAGGCTGGGGTTGGAAGGATGGGTCAGGTTGGATTCTAGCTTTGTTGTCCATCCAAGATATTTTTGTGTTTAGTTGCGGAGATGGGGTAGGAAAATGTTAAGGCAGTGCTTGCTTAATGAAGTGGAAAACACTTGTAAACAATTCTGTTTGGTGATGAAATAGAAATGATTTATTTTGAGAAGCATGGAGAAAAATGATTTACACTTTGGTAAACTTGTTTTCATTCTGGTAAGCCCAGGAATTGTTAATGAAGGTGTTTTTAATTACCAACACCCTATTCCTAAAACTATCTATATTATGAACTATTTTCTCACTTTTCAGAAAAGTTTAAAAGACATGTAATTACATAAAAATGAATTAATAGACTTTAGAATCCTTTCCTTCAAGTCATCACGATCAATTTTCAAAATAATACTGAGCTTGATAATTCCAGAACTGAGCATTCATTGTCTTTCTATCTATGAGTCAACTAAGAGTCTAGCGTCCTGTAGCAGGACTGAATGTGAGATGTGTTGCTCGTTCCACTCACATACACAGAAATCCCCTGTGTCACATCCTACAGCAGCTTGAGAATATGCTGTGTCCCTCACGTGTCCCTTGTGTTGAAGGCTTGGCTCCACGAATGCTGGGCAGTGCCATGGCCCCTAAAGGGAGAGCACCACATCAGGGGCACAAACCTAGCCCTGTTGTCCTCTGCCTCCACCATCTGCCAGGGAGCGACTAGGGGGAGAAGTGAGTCATCCTTGCACCACGCCGCAACCCCCTACACTGTGAGCATGTGGCAGGCATTTCATTGCAGGAATGCAAAACTGACTGCAACATGCCCAGTGGGAAAAGAAAAACTAAGAATTAGAGAGCTTCCTAGGCCCTGTCATCATGTAGAGAAAGTGCTGAGCTGGGACTGCTCACTCCCAGGTAAGGAGGGAGGACCACACAAGCACAACCAAAAAGACAGCCTGGGCCTCACTGCTCTGTCCCCACCTCCCAGACCTCTCAGCCTGTGACAGCACCAAAACTCTGCTAAGTTCCTAGGATTCCAAGCTCACCCAGAAACCGAGTGAGGGCTGGCGGGTTATCAGCACGTGGTGATTGGAAAATCAAGTCCTGGATGTGAAATAGAGATCAGAGGCCAGAGGCCATCTGTGGGCACCGCTGGGATGAGGGGGCCTGGCCTGCTCTTCACTGCCGATGGTGAAATAGCACAGGTGACAGGGAGGACTACAGCCAGGTACGAGAGCTTCGGCGAGCCAGGATCGGCCCAGAGACATGAGCCGCACTGGCAGAGTCGGGTGCTTTGTGAAGTTGCTGTGCTAACCTGGGGATCTGGGCTGGAGACAAAAGTTTTGCTCTCTGGGGTGGGAAGTTGATGATGAATGGAAAGGGGGACCAGTTTGTCCTAACGCCATCCCATTCAGATTTCAAGAGTAGGGGACAGGATTCTGAACTTGTGGGGTGCTTGGCTTCAGTAATGGAATAAACTGAGACTCTGTGGCTCACCGGATGGCTGTTCATTGCTGCTCCTGCAGATTCCAGGCCATGTGCAGAGCTGAGGTGGGGCGCTGCTCCGCTGCCATCCAGGCCTCAGGCCACACAGCTAGGATGGAGGGAGAGGGATGGAGAACAGGAAGGACTCAGGCTGTTCAGCAGTGAGGGGTCTATGAGCGAAACACTGACCTCTGCCAAAAGCCTGGGGCAGGACCAGTCCTGGGGTCCTGCCTTGGCACTGAATCGTGGCATCTGGCCAGAGGAGTCTGACTAGGAGCTCAGCCTCCTCCAGCGACTGAGTGGGGTGGAGAGTGAGGAACCCAGAGTCTCCCACGGGCCTGCAGACCTCCAGGGAGACAGCACCCAGTGGTATGACCCAACCGAGGTTCCCAGAGGCAGCATGGGGCTGAAAGTCACAACCATGGGAGAGGAGAGGACAGGGGTGAAACCAGGTGCAGTTTCTCGATCCCCAGAATGAGCCTGGGAGCCAAGCTGGTTCAGAGGGTTCACACGAACCCTGACAGCCTGGAACCTGGCACTGGGCTCCGACTGCTCGCTCCAGGCTGAGACCCTGGAAGTGAACCCCAGCCTATGTTGTTGTTTTTGTGTGTGTGTGTGTGTGTGTGTGTGTGTGTGTGTGTAGGTAATATGTATTTTTATATCTATTGTGTAATTATTTATTTATATAACTGTGTGGGAACTCTCAGCCTCACTTCTGTATACCTATATAATATATATTTTACATCTATACTTTCTGTGCTATTGATCTCTGTTTTCTGAATATCACCATTGCTTTAATTACATTTTTTACCTCAAAGATGCTTTATGATCTTGTAAGGCAAAGCTGGCCAGTCTTTGTTGCTCCCGTTTTCCTTTTTTTGTTTCCTTAACAACTTCAATATGGATTTGCTTCATGTCACTGTCTTCTTTGCTCTTTTCCTTTCCATGTACAGTTCCCGTCTTTCAATAGCCTGCACACTCAGGATGAAGCCTTCCTGGAGAGGGAGCCAGCACACTTCATGTAAATGCTTGGCAGTCTGGGCCCAGAGTCCCAAGGCCATCAGACCCCCTGGGAATGGCTGTGGCCAGTGTCCTTTGCGACTCTGTGTGCTGATGGCTGCAGAGGCAGGGGACACGAGGAGTAGGCAGGAGGCCGCCTGTGTCTGGATGCTCCACCAGCCACACCCAGATGACTTCTGGGGAACTCTGTGAGCTCCCCACACATTGCCACCTTGTGTCTCCAGTCGCAACCCCGAAGGAGCTCTCTTTAGAGAATCGGCAGTGCGGGCAGGATGAAGTCTGGCTGCCACGGAACAGAAGCACAGATCCTCTGAGACCTGGCATGTCTCAGGGCGAAGAAAGCTGTTCAACGTCCTGGGAGAAGGTGGACATCCTGGGCAGTCTGCTTGGAGACCTCCCAGCAGGTGAAGCCCAGGGGGAGGGTGCCCTCCTGCTGACAGGGAGGCAGACAGTGAGTGGCTTCCCTCGTGTGGAGGGTGGACCCCACTGATGCACCCACATCCGTCTCTGGAAACTCGCAGAAGGCCTGGAAGTGAACATGAGCCTGTGCCTGGGGAAAGATGGCAGGAACATCCCTCCAGTGACCAGCGCCGAACAGTACTATGACCGGGTGGCAGTCAGTCATCATTATCACTGGAGAGGCTCCTGGGCTCAGATGCCCGCCTGCTGGAATCCTCTCCCTGCCGCGCTGGTTTGCTAGGGTTTATTCCAACCCCAGCCCCTAGCCCACAAGTGTTTACAGCCATTGTCCTCGCTCCTCATCAAGCACCCGCCACCTGAACAAGGGACACGCCCAGAACCCTGCTTCTTTCTACCAGGGTAACTTGGCAAAGCTTTCTGCACCCTGCAGGAGCTGGTCTGATCTCTAACGAGGTTCTGCCTGTCTCCAGAAAGTGGTCTGCATGGGTCTGCACCAGCCTCCCCCTGGGTTGGACAGAGAGAAGAGGAGTCTATCCTTTTTGGATTCTGCACTGAAGTTGAGCTCTTGGGACATTACAACATCTTGTTGTTTTTTATCTAAACTGAGTAGCTGCCTAATGAGGTCCCAAAAATCACTCCAATGTGCTCTTTCAAAACAAAAGTTAGAAGGCTCCCTGATCCCCCGGAAGAAAGCTCCATTTCTGCTCAAAACCCATCCCTGACCTTTTTGTTGAAGAAGAACAAAATAATGTAGTAACAAAAACACAAGTGGCTGCCAAGGGAAAGGAGAGAGGAAAAAAAAAAGAGTTCCTGTAAGGGACTGAAACAATAAATCTCTCTGCTGAACTCCCTGAGGGAGTGTGTGTGTTTCCTCCCGTTCTTTATCAGAGTCCCCAAAATAAGTAGGGGCGGGCAGGGGCTCTGGGGCTCCCCACACCTTCTCCACTTGCTGCAGGGCCTGGGCTGAAGGGAACCAGCCGTGCCTCGTCTGCAGAGGAGCCTCGAGACCCCCAGCACCATGACTTGGCTTCCAGCAGCCACCGTTCTCCTGCTCCTGCTCTCTGGCCTCTGCCATGGGGATGCCACAGGTACCATTTTCTCTTTTCCTTGCAATGGTGAGCAGGACAAACAACTCTGAGAGGGGCCTTTAGCCTCAGTTTACCTTCAGGGAGCTTGCTCTGAAACTCGGCTGGATCGAGCATGTGGGCAGGAGGCTGGAGTGCGAGGGGACAGCTCCACAGAGACCTTTTCATCTCCCTGAGGGGAACAGCTGCTGGAGGAACAGCCTTGGGTGTCCTGTGGAATCATGGAGGCAGTGGAAACTCACAGGAGCCTTTTTAGAAAATGAAATCTGCGGATAGGTTGTTGGCTGAAAAAGTACTTTTTCTCAAAAATGTCTTCTTTTTAGACAGAAGTCCAGAAATAATGAGATTGTGGTGTACAGCAGACAGTCTGTACTGGAAATGTGCATTGCTCCTACCAGTCTGCACTGGTCTTCACTGTTTTCAGGCTCTGAGAGATTGGGAGGTTGGGAGAAAGTGTCTTGGACACAAATCCCAGTGCCAGAGGGGTGGCTGATCGGAGAGAAAGTCATTCAATTATCGTTTATAGACTTGTTGCAGAAATACGCTCCTCTCTTTATAGTACACAGCATATTTTGATAATAGTTCAGGACTCTGTAGACATAAAAACCCTATCATGGATTACAAGTTAAGAAACTTAGGTACAGGATATGTGTGATCCTACCTAAACCCCGATCATATTAATGATCAAGTGCAAGAAATTGTCCCATCTGAATTTTAAGCTTTCCTGAGTTATTTAAAATCAAGAATTAAATTTGATCAATACTGGCTAGGCTCCCACTCTGTAGCAGTGCAAGGAATAAAACAGCAAGTAAGATGTCATCCTTGCCCACAGTGGGAAAAATAAACAAGTAATCCTAACATAAGACAGATTTAATAAGTGTGAAAACCAAAGTACAAACTATCATAAAAGAATACCGTGAGAAAGATTGATTTTTTTTAATTCCGAGAAGCCCTGAGGGGGAACCAAAAAAAATTCTCAGTTCTAATTTTATTTTGTTTGTGCTCTTTTCAAAAGTTTTCTTCCAAAAAAAAAAAAAAGTAATTTCCAGCGACATTGGAGCAGAAAATAGGCACACACCCCCTTGAGCAACTCTTTATCAGTAATTTTTCACAGTATCTCCATAAATTTAGGACATGTCTCCAAAGCACTTCAGCGTCACCTACCCTTGGTTCCCATGCAATTTGGAGTCCCCAAGGTTGAGGCACCAGGTTTTGAGGCTAGACTAAGAACGTGACTTTTAAAATAAAGACTGTCCATGAGGCGTCCTGGAAATCCAGGTGCTAGCTGGCAAGGAACTGCTCAGTATGCGTGGCGAAGACTGATAAGAATCCCACAGCCTGCAAAACTCATTCACAAGGGACACAGGGTTCCTCTAAGCTCCAAAAGCCCCGGGTGGCAGGTGTCCACTCTGGTCTGCGGGTGCCAGAGAGCAGCCCAGATGAAACCCTCCAACTGCAGCTTCTTTTACACGGCAGAGCGAGGCAGGGTGGAGCCCCCAACCTCGGCTAAAGGGGGTCTGAAGGCAACAAGGACATCGCAGGGGCCCGGCAGATGGCTTCCATCACGGGCTCCTTGGAAGACAGAGGCCCCTCGGTTCTTTGCTGATGACCTAAGTCTTCCTTCAGCAATATTGCCTTTCTAATGAACTGCCAGGCCCTGGAAGAGCTTCCCACTGAGTGGGAGAGACAGTTACATAACTACCTCTTTCAGCCTCTGCCAACAAGCCCACTTGTTAACTTAAGGCCAGTATCGGTGAAAAGTAATGCTAATAAAAATACAAACTGCTGCATTCATCTTAGAAAAGGAAATTATAGACCCGGAGCATGAAGCAGCCGTCAGAGTGTGTCCACAGGGGCGGGAGGCGAATTTCCCATCCTCTGCGAGACTCTGTCACACCTGGGTCTGCCTGGTTTATGTTTCCTTCGCAGATTGGCACAGGAAATAAAGCATTTCCTGAGATGATCTGGGAAGTTCTTTCCTTAACGCCTGTACCAGGAACACGTTGATTCCAGAGCCTTCTGTGTTCCCTGAGCTTAGAGGGATTAACACATTTCCATCAGCAGTTGATTACTAGGCGTGTGAGGGAGACATTTCCTTTGCTTGAAATTCACAAGTTGTCAGCAGATCTATGCCTTTTTGCATAATAATGTATTTCTAAATAATAATCTTTTAGCGAGATTGAGTAGTTTTCATTTCTGATGTTTTTTGTCAGTCACAGACTTAAAAAAATACAATATAGGCTTTTGTGCTTTTTGTCAAAATCAAGGAATCTCCACATGGTAGTGAGTGACTTTTATTACTCGGTTGGTGGTATAATATTTTACAATGTCCAATTTGGAAAGCTGCTTTTAGGAAATGTGTGCAGAAGGCTCCTGAAAGGAAACTGTCATTCTTTCCTGGGTTTTCTAAATTGTGTTTAAAACTGAACAGACCCCCCTACACTAGCTTTTGAGCTCCTTAGGTTTTTAAATCAAGATCGATGAGCTTTTGCCTGTCAGATGAAGAGAAAGTAAATGAAGAAGGATGCTAAGAAAAAGCATGCCCTGCAAACAATATGTGTTTAGTCTTCCAGTGCCATTTGCTTTGTAAACTTGACATTAATTTTAGGAGAGACCAAATTGATTTAGACATTTGCAGGCAGGAGTAGACACTACTGTACTGGCATCTGAAAAGTGATTTGATTTTGGGGGGAGAAATTCATTTATTAATGACTGAATACTCAATTTCATGCAACAGAAATTGACTGAGCATACTCTGAGCAAACACAAGGCCACACACTGCAGGTTTTCAGAAGTTGGGATGACAGCACTTTCCCTGGAAAGCGGGAAAAAGGAGGATGAGGTGTAAACTTTAAGAGGTGAACAAAGAATGGTCTAAGAAGTTCACAGCTTCCTTGTTCTAGGAAGGAGGAAATGAGACAAATATGAATGATGATGAGTTTTGAAGGTTGAAAAATCTAGAGTTTCAAGACAAACAGCTTCTCATGAGTGCGAACACCGAAACATCAGTGCATTCTAGTCTAGAAAAGTAAGGAAGCCACGTGTTGGACACAGTTAAGTACTAGGAAATAAAGCTGGAGATTCGGCATTAGGGAACAGTTAATATCAGGATGAGAAACATCCATTCACCTTGCTGGGCCACAGCTCAGTGGCAGAGCACATGCTTAATGTGTGTGGGCCCTGAGTAAAGACCTCAAGATCACCAAAAATAAAAATAGTACCAACTAATATAGTTAATTAGTTTGGAGCCTGTACATGTTTTTGAACATGGAAATTATATGACTGGGTGTATAAGTTGGGAAAATAAATCTGTCAATAGAATATATCATTACACTAGTGGAGATAGTTTACACAAATCGTGGGAGTTAGACTGCATAGATTAGACTGTTGGAGTCAGGAGAAACAAAAGTTAAAGAAATTAGTTTGAGCACTGTTGTAAGTTGGAAAGTCTGTCAATAAAATGAAAAAAGGGGGGCCAGGGATTTAGCTCAGCGATTCTGCCACCTGCCTTGCAAGTACAAGGACCCTAATTCTATGCCAGGTACCAAAAAAAAAAAGATACTGAAAAGAGCTTTCAAGAAATACAAAATGCATCATTTGGCAATAAAAAGAGAAGGTGTTTGCAATGTAAAGAAGGGTTGATTTGGAGCCTAGAACTAGGCAAGTGGCTGAGGAGTAGAAGTGAAGAAAGGTAGGAGGTGGCTGAGGGAACTAGTGCTCAGTTCTGGACACAGTAATTTTAAAGTTCTGATAAGATGCTTAAATTCTGACAGTGAAGGGGGATTAGCACTGTCCGGTGGGTAGTTGAGCATAGTGGAGGTGAAAGAGATGCAAGATGTTGGGTGTTCTTTAGTCTCAAATTCATCACATCAATAACAATGAGAATCAACTTCCTTCCCTTATGGACGCCTGCATTTTGAACTCTCTGCACTTATTTTCCATTTCTATCAGAGTTATTTATTTATGTGTGTGAATGTTTTATCTCCTCTACCAGAGTATAAACACTTTGAAAAAAGGAGCCATATTTATTACAGTTTTTTTCTCAATAATAGCACTAACAACATATTTAGGACATAATTATCTGAATGCATAAATAAGTAAAATAATTGTCTCCCCATTTTCATCTTTACTTTCTTCCTGTCGCTTTTCAGCTCCCTACCTTGTCCTTGTGGAAGGTCAGGAGCAAGTATGAATTACATGGCATAGCATTGAGGCAGTGGAGTGTTTTGACTCCAGGCTCTGAAAGTAGCACCAGATATAAGGAGACAGCTTCTCATCAAAGGTCAGCTGGCTTTCAAACCCAAGAAGATGATAAGAATAGATGGACAACCTAGTTTCAGACCACAGTAATTTACAACAAATGTGGTAGAAAAACTGCTGTGACAAAAATCATTGAGAGAGAAAAATCTAAATAAATTGGCTCTACTTCTCCTTTGTGGATAGCAAAGGTTTAATTTGAGATTTTGTTATACTTAGAAATTCAAAGAGATGGCATATTCTCGTGCAACTTCTAAAAACTACAATTCAACGCTTTTGAAAGGCAAACTTCACAAAAAGAGAGGTTGGAAGAAAGTTAAGTAAGTGCTGCACATGCTTACTTCATGTGTCGTTTTAGTAACATCAGTGGGTTGCTTCAGAGCAGATCAAGGTAATCTTGCTTAGTATGTCAGTTACGTGTAGCCCACATTAATATCTCATATCTGAAATGGGTAATCTGATTTAGAAAGAATAAATCAAAGTAAAACAAATCTAGTGCGATAAGTAATTTGTTCCCAAACCATCTCTTTTGCTTTATTCTCCACTTACTCTTTTTAATATCCCTGACTAAAAGTAGAAGTGATTAGTATATAATTCCTATTTTCAGAAGGTTCGTGATAGTTGCCAGAAACAAACTGTAATTATTCAGAAAATTGTTCAGAAACAAAGATGAACATTTAAAGGTTTCAGAAACCTTTGAAATTAATAGACAATTGCCTATCCTCGCCTGTGTGTGTGTGTGTGTG